TGAGCAAACTCGGCGGCGTTGGAAAGATCATTCCACAAGCTTCACAACCATAACTGGAACTACTCCTAACTCATCCTGAGCTGGAAGTTATGACTGCTCAAAGTTGGCCATAAACCACTGATTTCCACACTTAGCCAATTTTCCAGATTTTTCAAATCCTTTCCAAAAATGAAAAATTTCAAATTCTAAGCCTCTTCTTAGCTATTTCAAAGTGTCGGATGTTACAAAATATGAATTAATTATCCCTCGTACCTAGGTGTATCTAGGTGTATGCAAAAATTGAACCGCTGAATAAAAAAATATTATTGATTTATTGGTATTGAATTATTGGTTAACGGTTTTTAATGGTTTTATATATATAAAAAAAAATTATCTAGTAATCAGTTCGGTATTTGTTTTTAATATTGGATTAGAGTGTGGTAATTTACTACTTTTACCTACATAAATATTAAATACTAACCACATAATACTTTATTAGTTACTGTCTTTGTCATTTAGCCTTCAATTCACTGTTCACAATGACTTTGAATTCCAACTTCACATTATGCAAAACGTCAAAACCTGAAATAAGAACTATGTTCCTCTTAATTTCTCTTTGTGTTATACTTGTATAGTTCTTTTCATGTCAATTATTATTGTTTCTATTTTATGAGCATTTGTAAAGTTACATTATTGTCTTGTCGCGTCAATTTTGTTAGAGAAGTCATATATTTATTTTAGGGATAACGGTCTGAAAAATACCCCAACTTTGGTCGGATTTGCTGTTGCGATACTAAACTTTCATGAGGACCTATTACCTCCCTAGACTATTTAATACCGTATTTTTTACCCCCTGAACTATTTAATAGTGTATTTTAAAGGTATATATGTGTCCACGTGGACACATTTTGCATTATTTTTTATGTCCACGTGGGCAAATATATATGTTTAAAATACGGTATTAAATAGTCTAGGGAGGTAATAGGTCCTCATGAAAGTTTAGTATCGCAACAGCAAATCCGACCATAGTTGGGATATTTTTCAGACCCTTATCCCTTTATTTTATAGTGAGTATTTTCTTATTGGTTAAATAAAAAACCGAACCGTTAAGGACCAAAACAGATAAACTGAAAATCGATAAAAAATATCTTATTGATTTGGTTATTAATTAAGCGTATTTAAAATCCGAAAACTAATAAACTGAATCGGTAATAAATAAAACTGAATTGACCGATGCACACCCCTACATCGTACCAAATGAGCCCTTAGTATTTTTTGAAGGAATAATAAAAGCATTGTCACCAACATGGGTTATGATGCAGTGATAGTACTGCTTAGAATTTAATTGGACTTCAATACGGGCTCGATAAAAGCATGCATTATCTGTTTTCCTCAATGGGAGACTTGTTGGCGGCTGGCACTACAAGAGTCTAATCCTTGTAGTTGAAGTCTTGTGTGGACTGCAAATAGAAATATATATATATAGTCATAAGTCATATGCACTGGCTTTTTCTATTTGATATTAACAAAAAATGGACATCTCATGTATCTCATTCATTATCTTATGATTGAGGTTTTAGAAATGCATGCTTGATGTTAAAGAAAAGCTTGACAAGTGTTATGTACTGAACTATGTATAGAAATAAGGTCTTCGTACATCCTATTCTTTCGATTACATTGAATATATTGTTAGCGTGTATATATCCAAAAGAATGAAAAAGTCTTGCATGAAAGAAAAAGAGCATGTCAAGGTTGCCAAGGAGACTGTCTGAAACCAACCAATAAAAGGTCACCATTGTATCACCAATGGTGTATTTGAAAACCTTTGGCAAAGTCATCCTTTTGGCTACAAAACAATAATATGACTCTCCTCTTCTTTTGAAATGATTTATGGAAGCATGAAGACATCAAATCCTATTGCCAAAAAGAAAGAATTGACCTTGTTTGATGTGTTTTTAAGTTAAAATAGTTTTTAAGCACTTTTGTATTATTTGGATAATAATAAATTTTAAAAAGTGCTCTTAAACACTTGTTTTTTAAGCTACAAAGACAAAAATAAGTCGAAAGTTATAAGTCCATCCAAACAGGCTCTAAGATGCTTGGCCAATGTTCTTAAAATGTTTCTCGAGAAAAACTACCTCTTTTAGCTTCTTGAGAAACAACTACTACTATTCATAATCACTTATGTACTTTTTAAATAAGCACTTTGTCTTACTAGAAATTTGGCCAAACAGGCTATTATATTAAACTATAAGTTTCAAAAGTCAATTGATCTTTCTTACGTCTGATTGATACGCGATGCACAAATGATCCTTTCGTGGGTAGACCTGGGTTCAATTCCTACTCTACTCTTAAATCATGAGTCCGCCTCTATGAATGAGAATGACATGACTAATAAAAATGGAAGAAGAGAAAGTCTTGCATGAAAAAGAAGAGCTTGTCAAGTTAGCTAAAGATGACCTGCTTGACCCCAAGAATGAAAGGACATATGAAACCCCTTTTCAAATATGGTGCAGGCAAGTCATCCTTGGCTACCAAATAAGACTCTTCTCATCATGCTAGACTTCTCTTCTTTTAAATAAGACTCCTCACATCATGTGCTTCGTCTCGATATTTTAATGATGACTGAAGCCTCTATTTTGAAAAGATGTCTTGCATAAAAGAAAAGAGCATGTCAAGGTAGCCAAGGAGACTGCCTGAAACCAAACTAAAAGGTGATTAAACACATTTTAGACTATGGAGCAGGCAAGTCATCCTTGGCTACTAAACAATATGACTCTTCTCTTCATGTAAGACTTCTCTTCTTTTCTATTGAGGTGATTGCTATATTGCAAGTTAGCCAACTATTTATAGCCACAACAAATTAGTACTAGTTATGAAAAAACTATATAAGCATCTTTGACTTAATTCTTTATTTTATTTTTTTTCCTTTAATAATTGCTTTGACTTTGGTTTCTTAGCTACATTATTCAATTTCCCAAAATGGAATAAGTTCTCTTCATTTGTAAAGACAATTTACACTCACTTTATCTCCAAGTAATTCTTTTAGGGGACAAGATAAAACAAAAGTTATTTTTGAAGGAAATTACATTGTCTTTGAAATGTTTATAGTTTTTTTAAAAAATAATTATGGTGTCCTGATTAATTTGTGCGCACTTCGACTGATTCCACGGAATATCTGTCTCCTCCCACCAGCAATAGGTACTAAGTAATTCTGTCCACATGACTAGGATTGACCTATAGTTTCTTGAAAATAATGCTAAAAATCTAAAAGTTAAATAGGACATATAATAAAGGGAAAAATTCATATACATGATATCTTCTAGTTTGAAATAGTTTTCGTCTTGCTAGAGGACTTACAATATTGTTATCATTACATATATTTAACTTATTTTCACTTTTATTTTTATTTGATGACATGAATTAAGATTAATTAGAATAAAAGTAATTCACATATCGATTGATCTCAACTTATTTGAAATTGAGACGTATAGATACGTTTTTTTTCTAGTCTAAATTAGTATGCCATGAATGCACATTGACGTACACTTAGCAATTAGTGCATGTATTTTCTTCTCCTTTTGTAGTTCCCAATACAACACAAAATTCGACCTTTTATGAATTATGATTGACCTTGATTATTTTGTGGGGCTGAAAAAATGGATTTGATGCCCAATTTTTATGTTTAAAGGGTATTCCTTCCAAACAATATGCTTTATCCAAAAAGTCAACTATATTGATGATCCAACTTTAGTCAAAATGGTATAATTAATATGCAACTTTATCCAAATTTTCTGATAGCACATGCATGAGCAAATTTTTAATTTATTATTTTTAGTAATTTAAATTTAAGTTTAATGATTGAAGAAAATAGATATCGATAGACTTGATCTACGTATGATCATTGCTCGCATTCAATATATTTGAAGTACTATTACATGCAAGGTTCGACATTGTTATAGGAAAGTCAATCAAGTCGTAGATGCCTTATTAGCAAAATGGAGTATTACAAATAAGGAGCGGATTATTTTCGCATAAGTTCACCTCCATTTGATAACCATTGAACATTACAGACTTGATCTCATATAAATGGAGTTCTTTAAGGCATAAGCAAAGGAAAAAAATTTTTGTATAGAATTGATCTAGTTGAGATGTTATAGTTGTTTTTGTCCATCGCACTAGACTTGTTTATTTATGTAAAAACTTGTATAGTTTTTGCCTAAGCCTTATTTTTTACGAAGTATTTATTGGCTGCGATCTGGCATAGTTGGGTCAAGCTTATACTCCTCTTAGCTTTGTAATTTTATTCATTAATATAAAGGTCACGCTACCATATGGTAATTAAAAAAATTAAAGCAAGTTAATAGTAGAAAAGGGTATGACTCCATGCAATGTGAAAGGACACATGAGCTTGTAAATTGTAATTAATAAAGAATTTGTGTGCATGTAAATTGTGGTGTAATGGTGGAACTGCTTCACCCTTAATCAGAGAATTTGAGTTCGAGCTGTCCTAAGTATCAAAAAGTCTTGTTGGAAGTGTCACCCCTGAATGGGCTGCAGTACGCAATCTAGATTTAGTCGAGGCTATAATGTGGGCATAGGACACCGAATGGAAAACCAAAATAAAATAAAATAAATGATACACCCAGAAGATTATTTGGTTTTCATATATGTAGTTACACTACATCAAAAAATGACCTTTAACTGTAATTAACTAACGGTAATAGCTTAATTGCTACTAAATATGTATTATTTAGCAGCAAATAGCACTCTCTGTAAATGTCCCTAAAGCCTATAACAATATTAGATCCAATAACAATTAACTAATACATGTAAAAATTTTCGCACTCTTTATTAATGTGTATATTTATTCTTTCTAAAAGTTGTTTTTAATTGTTGTAATGTTACTCGAATTAGAATAGCACTCAAGTTATTTTCTTTTTTTAAAAAAAGAATTATTACATAGGATAGGGAAAGGAAAATGTAGTTGATTTGTTTTCCATGTCAAGAAAATAGTTCTTCTTTCTATAAGGTTGACTATTGAGATTTGCAAAATATATATGATAGACAACCTGCTAGAATAATTGATCCTTTAATTTGGAGAACATTATTCACTCAATTCTAATCCAAAATCATAAAGAATATATTCCAAAATATGACTTGAGATCAATAGGAAGAATGTCAAATAGGGAGAACAAATTAAAAAAGCAAAAAATAAAATAAAATGAAGGCCAATTTTTTCTCACTTTTTTCCCCTTCTTGAAGCTATAAATAGAGACATTTAGAGACCAAATAAATGCATCACATATTTGTAGAAGTTAAATAACATTATTGAAGAGGGGTTTTACATGAAGTTGAGAGTATTGTTTAGTAGCCAAGGATGACTTGCCTACTCCATTTGATAATATTTTTTATTTGGTTGTAGGCAAGTTATCCTGGCTATCTTGACATGCTCTTAATTTTTCATGTAAGACCTTCTCTTCTATTGCTTTCATATTCTTCGTTTGGATCATGCTAATCTTTTTTGTATGATTTCGATCTATTGCTTTCTTGAACCTTATAAGTTTTTGTTAGTTCAATTTCATGTTGGAAAATGATGCAAAAGATATTTGATTGATTTCTTCTTCTTTTTTTGTAATAACTGTGAAATATTATCATACACCAATAAAATAGCTATACCTTAGACCACCTTCTAGGAAGGGCATCTAAGACATTATAAGACCTCTATAAACAAAATTAATTACAAATTCTTTAAATATATGTTCCACATTTTTGTGTTAATATCATTGCAGTTCTAGAGTTGCTAAACCATTTTTGCGGCATTTATATGATGTAACTTTGAAAAAACTACTCCCATAACCATCAGGATAGAGGCGGAGCCAGGTAAGGTCGAGGAGGTCCTTTGGTGGAAAATTATATTATATATGTATAGTTAAAATTATTATTTTTATGTATATATATTAGATATTGAACTCGCTTCGACTTCTTTTTTATGTTTACTTTTTCATATTTTAAACTTTTTAAATAAAAATTCTGACTTTGTCACTGCATCATTTTCTGATGTTTTATTGATATTTATATTTAATAAATAAAGGTTCTATGACCTCTTGACATGAGTATTCTTGGTTTAACATGTTCCTCAATGAAATAAGTTAGTAACGCAATAAAAAAAAATTGAGTGAATTACCATCATAATAACTCCGTAAAGGCCAAAAATATTTGAGATATGAAAAAAATTATTGAAAAAGAATATTACTATTCAAAATGCACTATACATTAAAAGGGGTAAAGGTAGTCAATGACCAATTCCTTACTTTTGCACCGACATACATTGCGATGAGATGGTTGAGTCCCTTCATTCTTAATCAGAACTTTCGATTTCAAACTCTTAAAAATGAAAAAAAATCTCATTAGAAACATTGCTCCTTCAATATGCAAATTCAAATTTAATCGAGACTCGAGCCTCAATGCGAGTACCAATACTCAGGTGTGGACCAAAAAAATATTGATACATGAGAAAATTTATCAAAATATTTTTTAAAAGATTTGTTTCTATTTGATATGTTATAGACCAACCTAAGTTTGATCCCAATTGATGTAATTTATTATTGCGTAATTTGAAATAATTGATCAAATCCAAATCGATCGGCTTTTTCATTAGTTAATTCATACTTAATAAGTATTATATCGAGATAATTTAATTGTAGTTTGAGACTTAATTAACAATACTAGGTAACGTTGTCTTGTAGATATTTATGTTAGAAACTTTAGAGTACATTAGATTAAAAACCTTATGAAAAGTATATTTTAAAAAACATCGTCCCGTTCACATAGGGTTGAGCTGTCCATTTTAAGACATGTCAACATAGTAAGTTAGCCCAACCCAACCCATCAAACTTCAAAGCTCAAATAGGCTAGGCACACGAATAAATTAGGTCGATTTATATTGATAGCTCTAATTATACCAATCAGCCTTTTTCTGTAAGTCCACTATTGCCCTTCACATAAGTCAAAATTTTGCCACCATAAAAAGTCATCCATTAATGTATAAATATTTCATTTAGTTGATCCATTATTCATCATGGTATACAAGACTACTAGATGAAATAAAGAAAATATTTGATCCATTATTCAACACGTGTGCACACTAAAACAAGTGAACCAAGCAACATTATTAATTAAAACTGATCAGGGGTGAAGCTAGTGTACTAGCTTTGGATTCAAACGAATCCATACATATTTTATTGCAAACTCAGTTACTAAAACGAGCTAGGTGTGCCGATCAAGTAGAGATCATTCTCTCTTCTAGCAGTTATTCCATTTGACTCAGTCATATCCAAATCCCTTACATGAATTCCTTCTGGAAGCTTCCAATCAAACTTGTAAAGCAAATGGGCTAATGGTAGAGTAACAAGAGCTATACCAAAATGTATTCCTGGACACATTCGTCTTCCTGCTCCAAACGGAAGAAGTTGAAAGCAGTTTCCAGTAAATTCAATAGAACTATTCTCGAATCTTTCTGGTATGAAACATTCAGGATTTTCCCAACTCTTGGGATCCCTTCCTATTGCCCATACATTAACCAATACTTTACTTTTCAACGGTATAGTGAACCCATCTATCTTTGTTTCCTCCCTACATTCTCGAGGGACCAACAAGGGTGTTGGAGGGTGTAACCTGAGTGTCTCTTTGATCACTAACTTTAGGTAATTAAGTTTTTCAAGGTCAGTATCGTCATTACATGTTTCCTTTCCTTTAAAGACTTCTCTCACTTCGGCTTGTGCTTTCGCCATGACACTTGGACTCTTCATCATTTCTGATAATGCCCAAATAACGGTTGCAGATGACGTGTCTGACCCTGCTACGAACATGTCCTACACCATGGTCATCAAATGTCATCAACCAAGTCAAATATGTAAGTAAATAGACCTAAGTAACACTTTGGTTTCATATATATTAAATAGATCATAAGCTAAAAGGAAACAAATAAAAAGGTATGGTGTTAGTAGTTAACCAATTGTATCGAATATACACTTACAAGAATAACTGCTTTGATATTGTCATTTGTTAGAGGGAATTGAAATTCGCCGCTCTCCATGACTCTTAAAAAAACATCGATCAGATCTTCAGTTCCAGACTCACCATTATAATTTTTTCCATTTGTGTGATTCTCTCTATGCACATTGATAATGTTGTCCAAGAGTATGTCTACTTTATTACGAGCTTTCATAAGTTTAGATTCCATCCCACTAATCCCATGTAGAAATGTTTTCGAAGGGAACAAATCAGCTAGCTCGAATCCACTAGATAATGACATTGCTCGTTGAATCAACGTTACCAACTCATTTTGATTTTTACATGTTTTCCCAAATGTTGACCTACATGTCGAAGCATTCATAAACCAAAAAAGTTTTTCTGATAAGTTGATTGGCGAACCTACCATTGAGTCGATAGATGATAGGAGATTTGAGAGCTCATCGTGTCGAATTGAGCTAAAAGACTTAACCATCTTGGCACTAAGTAGCTCCAACACACTCAATTTACGCATATGTCTCCAGTAATCACCATATGGGGAAAAGGCAATATCCGTACTATTATAACAAAGAATTTTTCCCAACATGGTTACTGACCTAGATGCAAAGGCGAGGTCATGAGTTTTTAGAATTTGTTTGGCCATATGTGGGGAGGACACAACTACTGTGGGAACTTCCCCGAGTTGTAAGTACATAATGGGTCCATATTTTTGCGACAAGTTTCCGAGAACTCGATGAGGTGTTCCACGTGTCAAGTGGTGTACACTTCCAATAATAGGTAACCTCCATGGGCCCGGTGGCAGCTTTTTCTTGAGGGTTTTCGAGTTTCTGCTCCAATTTTGAATTATCATAAAGAGGAAGAAGATGAATAGCGAAAATGAAACGAAGTGATGAAACTCCATATCTTAGTACAAGAAATTAAGAAATGTAAAACTCTATTTGATGAACTTTGCATTTTGAGACGGTTACTTATATAGTGGCTACACTTCATGTGGAACACACTTGGAATGTTGATTTTTCTCTGGAGGGAGTTTGAATAAATAATTTGTACTTGATGGTATGTTTGGCGGGTCTAGAAAATATTTTTTTGGAAAATAAATGGATTTTTTATTTATTTTCTAGTGTTTGGTATGTAAGTAAAAATATATTATTCTCGAAACATTTATATATAATCTAGCAAAATTTTACGGGAATGAAATAGGGTGGGGAGTGGGGGTGAATAGTCAAAAGGTATTGGATGAGTGAAAAAGAAACAATGTCATTATCTTTTCAAACATTTTGATATCAAACATAAGAATTTTAATTTTATGTAGATAATAGTCAATCTTCTTTTGTGTTACCAATTTGGCTTTTTTAGAAAAGTCTATGTGTAATTATTTTTTGATGACCTGATTGAATTTTTATTTTTATTTTTGCATTGTCGATTCATAAAAGTTAAACGTGTTCAGTTTTTAATTAATTAAGTGGGTGGTGGG